GTCTCCGGTGTATCACCACCGCGGCTTGAGTATAGCTGGCCGATGACGACTATTAAGTCCGAAATGGCCATTTCAGTCTCTGTTTCAGTCTCTTTTTTGCAGGCAATGTTCTTCTGCCCACAGCACTAGTCGCTGCTACGGCTGTTGTGCAAGGCAAAAGGGGGAGGAGTGTGTTCCGCTGGCGCTCGGTGAGCGCCTGTGCACCAAGGTCATTACAATGTTTTACCCTTTCTACAACCTGGTCTTGCTTCCACTTGCCCATATCTTTTAATTATCTTAATAGCAGTATAAATTTACAGGTTATGAAGAGAGCTTATCCAAAGCAGACATATGCCCACTAAATACTCCTTGGACTTTTCTAATAGGAAGTTTCAGATCTCTAAAAAATTTCAAGTAGCACTGCTTTGTATACGATGGTGTGCTAGATCTGTGCTCGCCAAGCCGCCGCTCGAACGATATTTTGCCCACCTCTTCACGTAAAACGATTTTCGGCCGCCACAATTACTCTGTCCAGTTCCCTGAAGAGGACAGTGAGTAAGCACACGCACGGCGACAAGCCATGGCGTGTCGCACGTCCAAAGCCCTGGGCCAAAAAATCATTTTGTGTGTGTCAGGATGTGCCTCCAAAGCACTACGAAAGGCGGGAGACATATGCGGGTGTGCACGCTGCTTCCAGACCGTCAAAAACGAGGGATGCAGGCCTAGCAGCTCGCAATTTACATTCATTAGCTTTTTTTGGGTACCTTTAGTCAGTGACCGATCTCATTAAATTTCAACAGAAATCCTAAAATGCTTTCAGGAAGAATGGCTTAAGTGTTCTTCCACTACCAATGATCCTGCAGCACAATCTACAGCGTTTTAAGTCACGTCAGGATGCCGGCTTTTGAACGAGCCTCTTTTTCGCCTCTCTGCAAAATTACATTAATTGTGCCTATTTTTCCCATTGACTTTTTATGTCCTTACAGTTTCAAGTATTTTTGAGAGCAAACGGGAGCAAACATATTCCTTCTCGTATGTACTTGGTAGGAAATCGAGTCTTCGCCGAATTTTATACGCAAAGTAAGCGTATATCTACAGTAGTCGCAAAGATCACGCAACATGTATTCATATGCGAACGATTGATACTCTTTCACTAATCGGCATTGACTCAAGTTGTGACACTGATTATCGTGTAGTCTCTTCTTAAGTCATTTCAGGTATTATAGGATGTGGGCTTTTTAACGAGCTTCGTTCTGACCACTAGCAATACGTATCTATAGTGAAAATTGGCTACTGAAGACGTATGCCTTTTTATCATTGATTTTGACTGCCTTTATAAATTTAAATATATTTCACAGAAAACATGGACGTATGCCTTTTTATCATTGATTTTGACTGCCCTTATAGATTCAAATATATTTTTTTATCATTTATTTTGACTGCCTTTATAAATTCAAATATATTTTATAGAAAACATGCTCGAAAAAACTAT